AGCTCTATCATTTCTATTTTGTTATTTTACGTCTTTATTGCTTTACTGAGAGCTTCTGGTTTTCTTCACTCATTTTAAAAGAATTTTTAATGATTTGTTGAAATGTTTTATGATGCTTCCTTTAAAAATGTCGCAGATATTCTAACATCTGATTCAATCTATTATTGGCATCAGTTGTTTTTGTTTTCTCAATGAAGTTGTGTTTTCTGGGTTCTTTATTATGAGGGAATAATTTCTTACTATGCCCTGTGTAGTTTGACTATTATGTTGTTTATTTGTTTTTGAATACGAATGTGGTATTACTCTGTTGAGGTTACCACACAGTTCCTGGCCCACCTTTGTGAATTGTAGCAACAGTGATTGCAGTTTTTTTTTTTTTTTTTTTTTTTTTTTTGCGGAACCGGGGATTGAAGTTAGACTCTTGCGCTTGCCAGGGAAGCACTTATTCCAGTAAGCCATCTCCCCGGTCCCCAGTGATTGCAGTTTTCAAAGCTTGTATGATGCTTTTCGTATCGTGTTGGCATAGTCCATGCCTCTGTTCTCTGACTGGCCCTCGATCATGCTGCTTGAAGATACAGAACAATCTTACCCAGACTAGGCACCTTGGTAACTGTATGTTTTTTAGCACATTTGAAGAATACCCCTGGCCATGTTGTAGCGGGATACCTTTACTGTGTCTTTAGCTACCTAGTCTATCAGGTGGGGGAGGAGAGGGTGGAGAAATGAGAGAAAGAATCTTGGGCACGTGAGAGTCGAAGCTTCCTGTTCTAGACACTTCAGGTGTCCTACGTCTTTGCATTAGAGAAAGATACTTGCAAGTAATATTGCTTTGTGAGAGTACAAGCTTTTTCTAGAAACCCATTTAATTTTCAAAGATCCAGGAGTACGTTATTTTATTTTTGCTTTCATGAATTATATAGCAGATATAGCAGAAACCTGCCAGACTGATGCAATATCTAGAAGTGACATTTTTACTGAATAAATTGGGATAAGTACACAAAAAGCTAGTTCATTTACACCTGAAGCAACAATTTATCTTTTCAGCTGCCTATTTGGAACCCTTCTCTATACTTTTTAAAATATTTTCCCTCCTGTTAAAAATTAAGATAAAATTTAATATATTAATATTTTAGTTGATGAAATCATAAATATATACATTATATATGTCTTCCTTTGTCGTTCATATCCTTACAGAGGAAAACCATGTATCATTAGTAACATTGCTCTCCCACAAGATGTATTGGGCACATATAAAATAATCCAGAAATATTGTACAGGCAAATTATCTCCTTTCTATTTCAACTATAGCTTGTGGTATCTTGAGAAACTCTCTTGGTTCGAGAAATGAGAATACCTTCACCCTATCCTCCACCTGTACATATTTGGTTCCTCATCATCCTATGGTATTTTTAGAAAGCTGAGCCATATTTTATTGCCTTATCCTGATCATTCAGAGAAGTCCTATATAGAGAAAATACTCAACATACTCTTCAGCGTATAAATGACAGCATTTTGAAGAACAGGATAAACTATGAAAGACAAAACCTTTATGTAAGACAAAAGTGAGCATTTTCATTTCATAAAAATATATATCTGACAGAGATTTATTGTTTTAAAGTTTTTATTAGTATGTTCATAGCACATAATGATTAATTTATTGTGTCATATTGATACTTATACATATCACCTCTTATTCCTTACACTTTTTCTTCTCTCCTCCCTCCTTTTCTGCTCATCCCCATCTCTCCTTTTTATCTCCATAAAGTCTATCTTTCTATTGCCTGTCACCTGTCTTTTATTTTGCTCTTTAAATTATTTATGCATTATGTGTCTCATTTAAGAGAAACCTTGCAATATTTAATTTTCTATATTTGATTTACTTCCCTTAGTAATATGGACTCAAAGTGCATCCATTTTCCTAGAAATGTCTCATACTCATTCTTCTTTATAGCTGAGCAGTAGTTGATTGTGGATGTTTGCATGATTTTCTTTATCCATTTATCTGACAGTGGGCTTATAGGCCTGTTTCGTATTTAGCCATCTCAGTCTATGTGCTTCTGCTTGGATGAGGTACATCTCCTGTAGGCAACATATGGATGGATTTTATTCTGTGATCCCACCTTGCAGTCTGCATCTTTTGAATGGGAAGTTACAACCACTGGTATTGAGAATTATTATTGTAGGATATTACTGAGCCCTGTTATTGCATTATTTTTTCAAAGCAGCTTCCTTTGTTTTCCTTTTCTTTACTTTCCTAGCTAAAAATAAACTCTCCTTCAGTGCTGGCAGCCTCTGTCTTTAGGATTCCTTCAAGTATTGTCTCCAGTGCTGGCTTAATGATCATGTATTTCTTTAGGATTTTTATTTTTATTTATTTATTTATTTATTTATTTTGGTCATGCAATGTCTTTACTTGTACATCAATTTTGGAGGCAAATTTTGCAGAATATAGAACTCTGAGTTGACAATAGTTTTCATTTAGGGCTTGAAAAACTTCATTTTAGCTCGTCTGATCTCTAAAATTTGTAATGAAAAATTTGTTATTATTCTGATAGATTTGTTTTTATAGGTTAGCTAGTATTTGCTCCTTTAGTTGATCTTCTGGAGTTTTGATTAAGATGGTTGTGTAGAGGCTCTTTTCTCAGGGTGCCTCATTGGACTTCTGAATGCCTCTTATCTTTGCATATTAAATTCTTTCTTTAGATTGGAAATGTTTTTCTGATATGATTTTAGTGAATATGTTTTTTATGATTTGGAATTATTTCATTTAAGGAAAGTCATGTAAATACCATAAAATACAACCTATAACTACTATGCACACACTAACGTTCATAATATACCCAAAAGAATTATCACATAATTAAGGACAACAAAACAAATTTGAAAATCATATTTCAAATATAAGATCTTCAAATTAAGATGTAGCTGGCAGATAGATAATGAAAGAAAATGAAACAGATAAAGACTTTATTTTATTTTGAAGTCACATTCCAAACTATAAAGTGCACGGAACAATCTTGTTTTTGAAAGGAACCCTCTGTGGACAAGTTGTGAATGTATGTTTTATGCATTTTAAGTTCCGTTCTGAGTTTTCCTTTATTCCTATATTTCTGTGTGGATTTATTTTTCACTCATCTTGTAGCTCCTGGATCCATCTTGCATGTTGACCTGTGATCTTTAGTGTATCATTGAGTTTATGATCTATGATAACCCATGTTGTCTTCAATTTAAGACACTCTGTCCTCACATTGGTCAAATCTGCCATTCGTACTTTCTATTAATTTTTTTTATATTTTGTGCTACTGCCTGTACTCTTTTTATATTTTCCAATTCTTTACCAAAATAATCATTTATATTATGTATTGTCTTGATTCCCAGAATAGCTTGGTCTTAGGCCACAAACTCTTCTGCAAATGGCTTCTGATTGTGCCACAACCAGCGGTGATGGAGTCAGCAGTGTGCGTGTTCTCCAACTCTAGCCTGCCACGCAGCTGGGTTGCAGCTTACAATCACTGTGGGCTTCTTTAGAGGCAGCACTGCCTGTCTATTGTTTATCAAAGGGACACAACTTTCCAGATTTAGCTTTGTTTGTGGAAACAGGTCCTCCTCTGGGACCTGGGCTTGTCACACCCTAAGGAATATGAGCAGAGGGGCCTCAGAGCAAACAGGTCACAAAATCATAGCTTTGAGCACATAGAAGGGTACAAACACTTAGGGCTTCATTGTTTTCTCTGCATTGTCTTCAGGTTTTTTTTCAGTTCTTTGTGATTTTAAGTTTTCCTGTTCACTTCTTGATTCCCAGAGCTCTTCTTTTTCTCCTAGGTGGTTGTCTTCCAGGTATCTCACTTCCAGGCACTGGAGAGGCTGTGATTTGAGGCTAGTCTTTTGAACATCATTTTCCCCACGGGGATTCAGTTTTATTTCCTTACATAAATAAGATTTTGGTGGATGCTCTATGATGAACAAAAATGTATGTCGTTGTAGGATTAAAAAGTTCAATCGCTATAGCTTACCTCAAATTTACTCTATACAATTTATTTCATTCATTAGACCAATTACTTCATGTTATGGAAAATAAAGGAAAATAATTTGTTGAATGCTTTCCATGTTGTGGTTGTGGAAGGTGACATAGATGACACTGGTGAGCAGTCCCTGTTGGTCAACACTTAGCTTATTTCTAGTAATTACAGCTAGCTTCCTTTCCAGGTATGCTGAAACACCTTCATTCAACCCAAATAACTGTATTTATTTTACCTGTTAATCCCTCAGATTCACAGACAGAACAGAGAAGAGAGGTATAGGGTTAAATTAGCAACTCTCAGATGCTTTATTGCCTGAATTCCTCAGTGGTACCCTAATTAGGGGGATGTATTTTTAGTTTCATGAGCACCTTAAATACTAGATAATTTCTACTAACAATGGAGCAATAATATCTGGTTTAAGTTACTTTTAATACTAAGTGAACTCTCCTCTCCTCTGGTCTGTTTAAGTGATTACTACATTTTCCAGTGACTGGTTGAAAAATGATATATGTAAGGCCAAACAATTATTTTGATTCATTTTAAGCTTTTAAATTTATATTTTGAAAGAAGTGTTATTTTAATGACAGTTAAGTGTAGCTATTTTGACAGATGGATTTATCCTAATTGTGTTATGTAGCAGTCTGAAAGTTTTTAAATTGGCTTATAAAACAGCTCCATAATATATCTGGGAGTAATTTGATCATGAATAAAAAATGTTTTCCTGTTTCACTTTTCATTGATCTCATTTTGCATTTTATTATTTCTCTTTAGAAAAGTAGCTGAGTGAGCTATAAAATAATTGTTTCTATTCTGAGGGATACAGTTTACATCAATGGAATATCAGATTAGAATCTGCATACATAAAAGCATCACATGTACTTAAGAAACTATTTCTGACTTTTCCTATTCATCAAATGGTATTATTTTTTAACTTATTCCATGAAGATGACTAATCAAAATTCCATGTTAATTTCACAGGTTATGGAAATCAAAGGGCAAATGATCCACGTCCCAGAATCAAATTCCATCTTGTTTTTGGGCTCCCCATGTGTGGACAAGTTGGATGAACTCATGGGCCGAGGGCTGCATCTCTCAGACATCCCAATCCACGATGCCACCCGAGATGTCATTCTGGTTGGCGAGCAGGCCAAAGCCCAAGATGGCTTAAAGAAGAGGATGGACAAATTAAAGGCCACTTTGGAACGAACTCACCAGGCTCTGGAGGAAGAAAAAAAGAAGACGGTGGATCTCCTGTACTCCATCTTCCCTGGTGATGTTGCCCAGCAGTTGTGGCAGGGACAGCAAGTACAGGCCAGGAAGTTTGATGATGTCACCATGCTCTTTTCTGACATCGTTGGTTTCACAGCCATTTGCGCCCAGTGCACCCCCATGCAAGTGATCAGCATGCTCAACGAACTGTACACCAGATTTGACCACCAGTGTGGATTTCTGGATATTTATAAGGTAACGGGACTTAGACAATAAATTCCAATCTTAATTAAATTGCAAACCCATATTCTTTCACTTAAGTTTGATAGGAAAAAAAAACTATAACTTAGAAAATTTTACACCAAATACAGGCATTTCTGCTTCATGAGTAAACATTCATTGTGAGGCAACTTAAATATTGACAGAAACTGTATTCATGATATTGCCCAGGAAGGAAGAACTTCTTCATAGCTAGTCCTCTAAAGTCATTATTATTATTAAAATTAAACTTATTGAGCATTAGGTGACTTTGAATAATGTAATCATTGTTGTTTAGGAAGTTATGTTCCAATATAAACTAAGTTTTAGTTGACAGTTAAGAGGAAATAAAATGTTGGAATAAACATTGAAGCATATTATCATTTAAGCCATTAGTCAGTATTTTACATAACATTCTCAATTAATTGAGCCTTCTTTAATTCTAAAAGGATATATAAAAAGATAGTATCTATTTCCCAAATGATCAATGTTTTCTAGTGTAAGCTCTTTATTTCCAAATTATTTAATGGAAAATCTTGCTAAATGTGTATCAGTCACTATTTATTTGTTTCTTTTGGCAATGTCTTTGTTAATTTCATGTTAAAATCATGACAGTACCTCCAATAATTCACCCCTATTTGCTTAATGAACAACTCTGCAACTTCACGTGGACTTTCATGTGAAATAGTTCATGCCAGAATGGATGGCATTTTTATACAAAGAGTGGCAACAACTGTCATTATTAATAGTGGTGAAGAGCAGGTTTTCATTTTCTTCTCTCATAACCCATCTAGACCACCTACTTCTTTTTATAGTATGACTTGTACAGAAGGAGATTAGGAAAAGACCCATATGAACTAGAGGGTGTTCTCATGAAGGTGTGCCTCCCTGGAGAAAAAAGTTCTCTAGTTCTATTTTGTAGATTACACAGGCAATGTATAAAATTTCTGTTAGTCTCTTCTCAGTGGTAAGAAGTGTGGAAGACATATGAGGGATTTGTCTCGTTACACAAAATAAGAATTTTATTTATTTATTTATTTATTTATTTATTGCAGAACCGGGGATTGAACTCAGATCCTTGCGATTGCCAGTCAAGTGCTTATTCTACTGAGCCATTTCCCCGGCCCTAAAATAAGAATTATTACATAAATTATTTCTAACTTTTTCATACTCTGGCAGAGGTAGCCGCATTTCTGGTTCTAAGCCAGAGAGAGACACTGTAATGAATCTATCATGGTGACATCCTGTCATTTTCAGGCGAAAGTGACAATCAGCTCGAACTTGTCGGCATTGTCCTTCCTCTGGTGATTCCTGGGGAATCATTACACCAATTTCTGTAACCTCCACTCTTCTTGTACATCATAGTTTTAGTGTTAGCGACCTTTAGCTCAAACAGAAGTTTTTAAGCCTTAAGTTCAGTATGACTAAATGAGAACGAGACATAGATTCACTGTTGTGAAAACATGGGAACGCTTATCTATATAAAAGTATCAGGTGGGTTTTGAGAGAAGAAAGATATAATGTCCTGTGAGGGCACCAAGATAATTTCAGGGTTTAAAAATATAATTAGATTCATGGGCATTGAATGTCTTTTTCCTCCTGATGAACTAGGACACCTCACCGAAAAAAAAGAAAATAATCGAGAATACTCTGCATCACTATCAAGTTTGCTATACGTTATCAAACTATGGACAGCTGCATAGAGTCACAAATAACCATTGGCAAGTTGTAACTTGGAAAATGGGACTTCTTTCTTTGAAATATTCAGCTATACTTTTCCACTTTCATTTGTATAAAAAAAAACCCAAGCATAGTTCGCATATTTTCTTAATCTAAATTTGCTTATAAAATTTAGGCAAAGGGCCGGCCAGATAGCTCAGTGGACTAAAGTGCCTGCTTAGGCAGAATACAGCAACTGGAGTTCAACCCCTGGCATGCGCGTTGGCCTGCCCCTGAGCGCGCTGAGACCATGAATGAGACTGGGTGTGGTGGTGCACGCCTGTAATCCCAGCTCTTGGAAGGCTGAAAACAGGAGAATCACTATGAGTACTATGTGTGTAGTGAGACCATAGAGACCCTGTAGATCCCATACTAAATACAAATAATAATAAGAAGAAGAATATAAATAAATAGGCAAAAAATATCCTTGATAAAACACCAGGGTAGGGTATTTTTAAACATAATTTCAAAGCTATAGATATGTGTCACTGAGATACGGTATAGCAGCTTTGGCTATTTATTCAGGATTGGAGGCGTTGAGTGTGGGGACATCTAGGATCTGGAACACAGTGTGCTGAAGCCAGCATGGTAATAGCGTGGCCAGAGGGGGAAAGATGGGGAAAGAATGTCACCTCTCTGTGCAGGGCAATGAAGTACATTATGAGAAATAAAGTAGAAAGCACATGAGTTTTAAGTTCTCTATGTGAAGTGCCTACTTTCTAATCATATAATCATTTTTTATTTTCTAGAATTTTTTTTCTTTTTGGTACCTGGTGTCAAACTTAGGACCTTGGGCTTGCCAGGCAGGCTCTTATGTCACTGAGCTACCTACCAGACACTCCTAGAAAAATTATATCACATGCTGCCTGGCTGGCTGGCT